CCTCGCTCAGCATGTGGGTACTGCTCCCTCCACTACAGACCCAGACTGCGGGCCCGAGCTGGGGTCTCCTTGTCCCCAGGGTGTCCCCTCAGCTCCTCTGACCCTCCTCCTGGCCAGGTATCCTCAGGCTCCCACTCCTCCAGGTCATGCCCCCCGGGGTCACCAGGGTGATTGCTGTGACACCGCTGTAAAGCAGGGGGAGCGGAGGCACCCACCACCCTGGGCCTAAGGTGTTGGCCCCTCCCATTTCCTGAGAGCTCACTGCTAAGCACCTGTGTCCATCACCTCACTGTCTTTTCACGTCTGCCCTGTGATGCGTTAGCTGCTGTTAACTCCAGGGAAACCCTGACTTGGAAAAGCTCAGTTACTTGCTTGGGGCCACACGGCTGGTAGAGGTGTGGCTGGGGTTTGTATTCAGGTGTACCTGATGTCAGAGGGGTGGCAGTGAACCAGGCTCGGCACCCACCCCATCTGCCAGTGCCCAGCCTCCTGTGCCCAGCGACTGTAGCATCTTTCCTACCCTCAGGATGAATCACCGGCTACAAAGCTTCTTTGGGGGGACAGTGATGGGGGAGGCTGGCATGAAAACTGCGGAAGATGTGGGAAGTCCCCTCAAGTATGAATTCCAGGTACGGGGGCCTGTGGAGTCCTGGCCTGGGGGCTCCTGGATGGGAGAGGGGTCTTTTCTGAGCCTGGAGCCTGAGGCTGGGAAGGTTGGGGGCTTGGGGAGATGGAAGTGGCTTCCCAGGAGATAGTGACCGTGACACCTCTCGTCCCAACAGGTGGGCCCAATGGGAGAGGGGCTGGCATCCCTGGGGACCCTCATCCTGGGTCTGGAGTGGCCCTATGAAGTCACCAATGGCAAATGGCTGCTGTACCCCACTGAGATCACCATCCATGGCAATGGGTCTTGGCCCTGCCAGCCACCTGGAGACCTCATAAACCCACTCAACCTCACTCTCTCCGTAAGTTCACCATCAGGGTCTTCCATTTGCAGCTCATTCGCAGGCTGCAGGACGAAGGCCAGTGTTTCCCCTCCGTCCCCTCATAACCTGCCCTGGGAGGCTGCCGGTCCCCTCTGTCTTCTCCCCTGCTCCCAAACTTCCCTCTGCCTTCCCAGCAAATCTCCTCTTTCCCCTTCAGGACCCTGGGGACAGACCACCCTCTCCGCAGCGCAGACGGCGGCAGCTGGACCCGGGGGGAGATCAGGGGCCCCCGCCCATCACTCTGGCTGCTGCCAAAAAAGCCAAGTCAGAGACTCTGCTGGTGAGAGGATTGCACCCACCCTGTCCCGGGGTGCAGGGGTAGCGAGGGACATGCAAAGCAAGGGAGAGCGGGACCCCTCTTGAGGAGAGCCCGATCTGATGAGGCGCCATGGCCCCAGCCCTCAGGAGCCTCCAGATGGAGGGTAGATGTAGCTGCAGTCCTTAGAGGGTGCCCCACTCTGATGTGGGGGAGGGTCCAGTACAGTCTCCTCCCAAAGGAGGAGACCCTGGCTCTCTCCCAGGGACCCTGGAGGCGGATGGGTGCTCAAAGCCTTGAACTTTAGGGCGGGGGAGTGGAGAGGGGCAGGAGGATGTGTGGGCTGGGAAGGGAGGAGGAACAGGCTTGGGTGGGCTGGCGGAAGCCTGGCAGGGTGGAAAGGTGGGAGCTGGCATGAGCAGAGGCTCAGGGTGATGGTGGGGGCTAGGGAAGGGGCGCCAGGGCCGCAGGGACCAGATTTCATGCTCTCCGTGTTCCTGGCATGATATGAGCTTGGCCTGAAGACTGTATAAACATGTAAGTGGTGGGGATGGCAGGTCAGGGGAGCGTGCACAGTGACAGGATGACATGAGACCCCTTCCGGTCACCCAGGGGTGGGATGAGCCCAGGAGGGGTGGAAGGTGAGGAGAGAAGCACAGGCGCCTGAGACCCACACTGTGTCACGTCTTGTGTTGCCCACCTGCTCACCTCAGACCTGTGCCAATGGCCGTGCCCGCTGTGTGTGGCTGGAGTGCCCCATTCCTGATGCCCCCACTGTCACCAACGTGACCGTGAAAGCACGGGTGTGGAACAGCACGTTCATTGAGGTTAGTGCCCCGGGCTGGGTGTCCCCCACTGCTACCTGGCCAGATGGGGAGGCCAACAGGGAAGGGTGGGAGTGAGGCCAGGGTCACAGCAAGGCACCGTGCGTGTGTGCATGTGTGGCGCAGCATCGATTCCACAGCTGCGTGGCTGGGACTGTCGCCGTGTCAGTGTTAGGTTTGCGCATCTGCCTGAGGACACATACGTGATGCTTATCTCCAGCCAAGGTGACTTTCTCCCACGTGTCCATTTTTCCGCCTCGCGTCCATTACTCTCGGTCTCAGGGCCTTTGCCCATGCCATTGTTGCCCCTGGAATGCCAGTTTCCTCTGTGCTGTCTCTGTGTGGACCTATTATCAGCCCTCGGGGTCTCCAGCAGCTCATTTACCACCTGTGAGACCTTTTATGACATTGCCAGCTGAAAATGACCCCCTGCCTTGGACATGCACACAATGCTCTCATAAGTGCCACTTCCGAGATATGCCACTTGTCACATGGTCCTGCCAGTGACTCGGCCAGCCCTCCCCGTGCCACCTAGACCAAATGTCTTGTCTGTGAACAATCTGTTCAGCTTCGTGGGCATATGGTTTCTGTTGTCACCACTTCTGCCCCGTAGTACCCAAGCCGCGTAACCAACCAGTGGATCTGGCTGTGTGCCCAAACTACTTTGCTTCCCAAAGCAGGAGCTAGACCAGATTCTGCCCACAGGCCTGACCTAGACTCTGACCTTCATGGTCTCTGCTGGCCCTCAGCACACACAGGACCTGACACAGAAATGAATGGACAACGCACACTTGTGCTGTTTAAGGGTGCTGCCCAGTATGAGGGCCCCAGCAGTAGGGGTGAGTGAGGTCAGCAGGGAGGCTCAGAGGGGCTCCAGCTGCTTCTTTGGACCTGCCTCTTCCCCCTCCAGGATTACAGAGACTTTGACCGGGTCAGGGTGGATGGCTGGGCCACCCTGTTCCTGCGAACCAGCGTTGCCACCATCAGCATGGAGAACAAGACCACGTGGGTGAGTGAGCGTGCTGACGGGTAACAGGCTTTGGGCTCCTTTTAGAAGCCTATGGATACACATTGGCTGTGTGGTTCTCAATTCTGTTTTTGTTTTATAGGTTTTTGTTTGATTGATTGATTGACTTGAAAGTCAGAGTTACAAAGAGAGAGGGAGAGATAGAGAAAGGAATCTTCCATCCACTGGTTCACTCTTCCCAGGTAGCCGCAATGGCCAGTGCTGGGTCAGGCCAGAGCTGGGAGCCAGGAGATTTATCCAGATCTCCCACACAGGTGGCAGAGGCCCAAGAACTTGGGCCAACTTCCGCTGCTTTTCCCTAGCCGTTAGCAGAGAGCTGGATGGAAAGTGGAGCAGCTGGGACTCCAATCGGCACCCATATGATATTCTGGCATTGCAGGCAGTGACTTTCCCCATGGCACCACAATACCGGCCCCTGGTTCTCCACTTTGACAGCACCTGGAAGCTTCTGGAGGACCTCTGGTGTCTGGACCACACCCCAGAGCAATTACCCCTGAATCTCCAGGAGTGGGGCCCCAGTATCGGAGGATTGAGTACCCCCAGGGGCACTAACCAGCGGCCAGGGGTGAAAACCACTACCATAGCTTCCTTGTCCACACAGCAGCTCCGTGGAGAGTAGGGGCTGGGGGTGGATCTCTGTTTTCCTCTGGGCTGAGAGCACTGAAGCCAGAGACATGGAGTGACCTGTCCCAAGGGGCACAGCTTGTCAGGGCCGGGAGCCTGGGCCCCCAGATGGTCACGTCCCCGATGGACATGCGAGCCTTCTGGCCACCGGCAATTAAGAGTAAGGAGCAGGATAATAAGGCAAACAAGTGAGGGCCACCGGGGGGAGCCCCACATTTGCAGATGAAGCAATTGCCTACACAACAGAAATGGCCAGAAGCCGGACAATTGTCAGGTGCTGGAAGAGAAGTCGGGGAGTTCAGGAGCCTCAAGCACAATGTGGAATCCCAAGTCCCTGGTTTCCTACATGCTGGCAATAGCTCACCAAAAACACAGTGGATACCATCCCACTCCAAGCTCACACAGCATCCAGGAATAAACATACCAATGAATGTGCCACCAAAAGTGAGGGAAAGAGGTCACTGTGATCAAGTTCAAGTTGCCACCTCTCTCTCTCTCTTTTTTCAAAGATTTATTTTATTTATTTGAAAGCTAGAGTTACATGGAGAGAGGGACAGATAGAGAGACCTTCCATCGCTGGTTCACTCCCCAAACTGCCAAAACAGCAGGGGCTGGGCCAGGCCAAAGCCAAAGCATGGAACTCCATGTGGGTCTCCCATGTGGGTGGTAGGGGCCCAAGCCCTTGGGCCATCTTCTGCTGCTTTCCCAGAAACATTAGCAGGCAGCTGGATAGGAAGTGGAGCAGCTGGGACTTGAGCCAGTGCGCATATGGGATGCCGGCGTCACAGGCAATGGCTTAATCCATGACACCACAACGCCAGTCCCAAATTGTCACATCTTCCCAAATAATCCCAGGCCTAGCAGGATCAGGAAACTTGAGCAAAATTCCAAAACTTGATTCCAAGTTAGATCTTGAAGAATAAACCTGATAAAATTGATAACAATATTTTGAAAAGGATGTGAGTGGGATATTAGGAGTCACATATAGGGAGATGAATGGTTAGGTACATTTGGGGACATTTTCTAAGATAAATTAATATAGTAAGAAGAGGTTGGAAAAGGGCCAAAAATACCAAGAAACAGAATGGAAATTTACTTTATGATACAAATAGTGCTTTCAATCAGTAGACAAAAGTAGACTGTTAAATAGTGTTAGAACACCACAGTTAGCAAATGCAGACAAATCCCTACCTCATGCTATAAATAAAATAATTCCATTTGAATTCAATGAAATATTTAAATGTTGAATTAAAACCCAATATGCCAAAATAAAATGCAGAGAATCGTTGAACAGTGATCTTTAATTTCAGGGAGAGTGAACTGTTATTAAACTCAGGAGTCACAGAGGAAAAAACCTGACAAATGAGACTCCATGAGAACTTAAATCTGTATATAACAAAAGCGATGGTAAAGAAACTAAAAGGGTGAATGATGTTCACTCTGTTGAAAAGTTCAGGACAAAGTGCCGATCCAGATTCTAATATATAGAGACAAAATGGATAAACAGGCAGTGTAATAGGGCGAAATGCAAATGATCAGCGTACTCATAAACAAAAATAACAGAAGCTAGATTTTGTGCTGCCTATCAGATCGGAAAATACTAAAAAGAATAACGCCGTCTGCCATTGATGGGGTGGAGAGAAATGCCCTGGCTGGAGCACACGCGGGTGGATTCTTTTTGAAGATGCATTTGTCAATATCCATGAAAATTTAAAATGCCCGTTCCCTTGGGTCCAGCACATGGTAATAGACCTGGAGGGGGGAACAGACAAGTATGCCGAGACGGATACATGGCGGTATCTGAGGGCATTATTACTCCTGGTAGAACATTGGAAACCTCCCCCATGCCTTTTAGGAGGAGACTGGTTCGAAACGTAAGGGCATATTTCCTACAGTGACTGTGCCGTCCTCAGAGGTCCATCAGAGGCTGATGTGGGGCACCCAACACGGAAAAGAAGCAGGGTGCAGAAGAGGGTGTGTGTCAGGAGCCCGTTCACGTGCGTGATCTGCCTGGGATCACATGGCACGACGTGCAGCAGAGAGTCCAGAGGGAGTTACATCCAGACAGCAAAATGACAGAAGTGACAGAAACTTTCGTCTTCATAGCATCTGCATTAAAAAAAATCAAAGTAATTTCAAAAGATGTGAAATCACGTATAGTTAGAAAAAATAATGGATACAAAGATACTTCAAAGGGTTCATGGGAAATGGAATTAAATGATAAGTCTACTTGGATGCATGCAAGTCTATTTTAAATACTTATTTATTTTACTTGAAAGAGTTACACAGAGAGAAGGAGAGGCAGAGGAGAGAGAGAGAGAGAGAGGTCTTCCATCTGCTGGTTCACTCCCCAAGTGGCCACAACGGTTAGAGTTGTACCAATCTGAAGCCAGGAGTCGGGAGCCTCTTCCAGGTCTCCCACGCAGGTGCAGGGGCCCAAGGACCTGGGCCATCTTCCACTGCTTTCCCAGGCCACAGCAGAGAGCTGGGTTGGAAGAGGAGCAGCTGGGACTAGAACCAGCGCCCAAATGGGATGCCAGCACTGCAGGTGGCGGCTTTACCCGCTACACCAAAGCACTGGCCCCAACATGCAAGTCTATTTTAAAATCCAGGCATAGCTTTTATAATTTGCATTTCCCATAAACTGTTTGAACAGCCCTTATATACACAGATTTCAAAATGTTTGGCATCAAAATAAATTTATATTTTAATTTCATTTTCAAAGAACTTTTTAAAAAATACCCTGGGGCTGGTGCTGTGACGCAGTAGGTTAAAGCCCTGGCCTGAAGTGTCAGCATCCCATATGGGCGCTGGTTCTAGTCCCGACTGCTACTCTTCCGATCCAGCTCTCTGCTATGGCCTGGGAAAGCAGTGGAAGATGGCCCAAGTCCTTGGGCCCCTGCACCCTCGTGGGAGACCTTGAAGAAGCTCCTGGCTCCTGGCTTTGGATCAGCGCAGCTCCGGCCGTTGTGGCCATCTAGGGAGTGAACCAATAGATGGAAGACCTCTCTCTCCTCTCTCTCTGTGTAACTCTGACTTTCAAATAAATAAAAATAAATAAATAAATCTTTAAAAAATAAATAAAAGGTACCCTCATACATACGAGGGGGTCTTAAAACATTCGTGAGAATTGCACATTATGAAAAATGTGCACGGGTAAAAACTTTTTTGCACCAATATAAACTTACCTTTTAATTGTTTCTCCATGAAGGTTTTGAAGTTACCATGTATGTAAACACACACACACACACACACACACACACACTCCTTTATAGGGAAATAGAATGGCCGTATATGCAGTGCACTCTTCTGCGGCTTTTTTGGTAAATATTTGTGGAGCTGTGTAGCGGGTGTGGCTCTCAGCACTTCACTCGTATTAAATGCCTCTAACCTTCCCAGCAACCTGTGAGGTAGGTATTTTTGGAATTCCCATCCTGCAGACGGACAACAGAGGTTAAGTAGCTGGCGCCAGGTCACACAGCCTGTGAGTGACACCGCCAAGTTCAGGTAGTCTGGCTCCAAACCCAGGCTTGCGGTCGCTGTGCCTCTGAGGTAGCCACTGTGACCCCCTTACGGGAGAGGGAGAGTAACGGAGATCCAGAGAGGCGGTCCGCCGGGGAGCGAGCTAGCACACAGCCCCGGGGTGTCGGCGCCGCGGGCGGAGGCTCTTTCCAGCCCCTGGCTGCCCCCTACTGGCAGCGGGTCAAACGGCAGGGTCCTAGGCCTCGTGGACCCCGGAGCACTAGTCCCGAGCCTTCGGTGGCGAACTCCTGGCTGAGTCCCCTCTGCCTCCGGCCCCCCGCAGTTCTCCGTGGACATCGACTCGGAACTGGTGGAGGAGCTGCCCGCCGAGATCGAGCTGTGGCTGGTGCTTGTGGCCGTGGGCGCGGGGCTGCTGCTGTTGGGGCTGATCATCCTGTTACTGTGGAAGGTTCGGACCCCAGCCCGGCTCCTGCTCCCCAACCCCGCTCCTGCCCCCGCACCCTCCCGACCGTCTGCCCTCATCCCACCGTCCACCCTCCGCATTTGCATCCTACCCCACCCTGCCCATTGGCCGGCCCCCTTGCCCCCCAGCTGCCAGCCACCCCCTGCAGGGCCCGGTCCCCAGTGCTGCCCACCAGGACGTCCCAGCGCCCCCTGATGGCCCTCCCGCCTCCTCCCCTGCAGTGCGGCTTCTTCAAGCGAGCCCGCACTCGCGCCCTGTATGAAGCTAAGAGGCAGAAGGCGGAGATGAAGAGCCAGCCGTCAGAGACGGAGAGGCTGACCGACGACTACTGAGGGGGGCAGCCCCCGCCCCGGCCCACCCGGGTAACACGGCCTCCGCGCCTCCTCCCAGGGCCTCTCCCTCTGTTCTGTCTGCACTTCTTCCGCTAGGGGGCCCCCTCTGACCCCGCCTGAGATCTGGCCCCTCCCTGCAAGCCCATGCTCTGGCTCTCCCCAGCCTCCCCTGCTGAGCCTCTAAGGCACCTGGGGCCCCAAGAAGGAGCCATTGCCTTCTGGGGACTGGGGAGAGATCACGGCCAAGGCTGGAGGAGCAGTCCATAATAGTCCTAGACGCCCGCTGACCCGCGAGACCCAGCGATTTCCCTCCGAGACAATCAGCTTGCTCACTGTCCCCTGTGCTTTCCTGGCCATGCCATCAGCACCCTGCAGCTGCCCCTGTCTCCATCTGCTGCCTCCTCCCCTCTTTGCCTTCCTCAACTCCTCCTCCTTCCTCAGGGGTCTGCGCTGGGGCGGCTCTTCTCCCTGTCTTGTTGCAGGGAGGTGGGGATGTGTTTGAGGTCCTGGCTTTGTGGACCCCCAAGTAGGGGGAGGAAGCAGCCAGCCCCTCCTCCCCCTGCTCCCAAGGCTGGAAGCCAATGCTCTGTCTCTTCCCTGCCACCTCCAGTGTGACTTCTTCAAGCGGACAGGCTACTACCGGATCATGCCCAAGTACCACGCGGTGCGGATCCGCGAGGAAGAGCGCTACCCGCCTCCTGGGAGCACTCTGCCCACCAAGAAGCACTGGGTGACCAGCTGGCAGACTCGGGACCGATACTACTGATGCCCTCCCCCTGCCCACTGCCAGGGCCCCCTTCCCTCCTATTTATCGTGAGTTATGCCCCTGGCTGGCTGCAGGCCACTGCCCATGGCTGACCCACAGGAGGCCTGGGCCCTGGACCTTGCAGCACCAAGCACCCTGCAGCCCTGTGTCCTGGACACACGTGGGGCCTGCTGTTGCGGCCCGTGCCTCTGCATTGCGGAGGCCACATGGACCTGCCCTGCCCCAGCCTCCACCTGTGCCAAAACCAAGCCACAGGGTCACCACTAGCGCCACCCCCACTTGGTGGTGACCCCTCCCCCACTCACACTGGATCCATCCTGGGCCACTGTCACTGGAGGGACTTGGCTGTCCAGAGGAAAACTACTGACAGGGAGCAGCGTGCTGGGACCCGTGCATCCCTGGACCTGGCCATGGAACTGCAAGGAAGGTCCCAGCAGGGCCTTCTCTCCCGGGCCACCAGCTGGGCCAGCAGGCGAGGCGGGGGTACAGAGGAAATGCCACTACTGAACTGCCACCCCAGTCTCGGTCCCGGACACAGCCGGCCTGGAAAGACTGCAGTCCAGGAGGGAGGGAGCAACGCCGGAATGGAGACCCGGCCGCTCAGGCCCCACGCTGCCTCCTTCCCCGCCACTGACTATGGGTCCAGGGCCTAGAGTGCTGCTCCTGGCTGCCCTTGGCCTTCAGAGCCAAGCTGACTGCCTCCACAGGCTGCAGCCCAGGCTGGTAATCCGCCCGCCCCTCTCCCAGTCCACGGTACTGTAGCAGGGGAGCTCCTCCCCCTCCTCGTGCCTTCTTTGTACAGAGGCTTCTCATGGCGACCAATAAACAGCTCCCTGTTTGTACGCGCGGCTTCCGCCCCCTTCCCAGCCTGTGCGGTCTCCCTGCTGACGCTGAGTGGACAGAGCTGGCGTGTGTGTGTGTGTGTGTGTGTGTGTGTGTGTGTGTGCAGGGGGTTGGAGGGGCCCCTCCTCACTGAGATCCAGGACCTAAGATGAGGGCGGAGCTGGGATGGGATCTGCAGAGCGTCCCAGGAGAGGGCACTGGCCCAGGGAGGGAGCAGGGCAGAGTGGTGTGCTAGGATGGGTCTAGAAGAAGCTGGAGCTGTTCCACCAGGGAACCGGCAGGACTGGCTTGATCAGGCGGTCAGAAGGGGAAGCAGTGACCCAAAACTGCCAAGACCAGAAGGGCACAGGGTCCATCCCCTAGGGAGTACCCCAGGCTGCTCAGCGCTGGGCCTACAAGCCCTGTCCTTTGCTCCCCAGTGCCTCTTGGGGTTCTGGCTGCACCCGCACGGGAGACCAGGAGGAAGCACCTGGCTCCTGGCTTCGGATCGGCACAGTGCACCGGCCATAGTGGCCATTTGGGGGGTGAACCAATGGAAGGAAGACCTTTCTCTCTGTCTCTCTTTCTCACTGTCCAAAAAGAAAAAAGTGGAGCTGGGACTCAAACCCAGGCCCTTGGCTATGGGACGTGAGTGTCCAAACTACATGTCTTTTTTTTTTTTTTTTTTTTTAGATTTAATTTTTATTTATTTGAAAGCACAGTGGGAGAGAGAGAGAGAGAAGACCTAGAGAGACCTTCCAGTTGCTTGTTCACTCCCCCCGATAGCCATATTGGCCAGGGCTGGGCCAGGCCAAAGCCCAAGAGCTCAGAACCCTACCCATGTCTCCCAGGTGGGTGGCTGGGGTCCAAGCACTTGGGTCATCTCCCGCTGCTTTCCCAGTGCCTTAGCAGGGAGCTGGGTCAGCTGGATCAGACTCCAACTGGCGCTCCCATAGGGGATGCCAGCATCACAGGCAGCGGCTGAATCCACTACACCGCAGTGCGGGCCCGGGCTGATTATCTTAACTGGGGCTCCAAGCACAGGCCCCTCCATGGCTTCTGTGGCCTAAGCTGTGGCCTCTGTTGATTTTCCCTAAGACGTTGAGCTTCAGCGAGACTTCACTGAGGCTGGAAGTGGGTCCCAGAGAAGCCTGGAGGCAGATCCCAGATTCCCAAGCCCTCCGTTCTGGGAGTGCCTTCTTTTTTTTTTTTTTTCTTTTTTTTTGACAGGCAGAGTGGACAGTGAGAGAGAGAGACAGAGAGAAAGGTCTTCCTTTGCCGTTGGTTCACCCTCCAATGGCTGCCGCGGCCGGCGCGCTGCGGCCGGCGCACCGCGCTGATCCGATGGCAGGAGCCAGGAGCCAGGTGCTTTTCCTGGTCTCCCATGGGGTGCAGGGCCCAAGCACCTGGGCCATCCTCCACTGCACTCCCTGGCCACAGCAGAGGGCTGGCCTGGAAGAGGGGCAACCGGGACAGAATCCGGCGCCCCAACCGGGACTAGAACCCGGTGTGCCGGCGCCGCTAGGCGGAGGATTAGCCTAGTGAGCCGCGGCGCCGGCCTGGGAGTGCCTTCTGACATGTGCCCGGGGGGTCTCCCGGCCTCCTCGTGTGGCAGGCACGTGCCCTCCACTCTCTCCTCTCTCTCCACCAGGGCCACCTCACAACAGAAGCCTGGGCTCCTGCGCAACCTGCTCTCCCACTTTGCCCCTGGGATCCGCCCCCCAGATGATTGACAGTGCAATGTCCACCTCTCTCAGCAAAGCCTCCACCTCTACCCAGAACTGCCAGGGATCGGAGACTTCACTTTGTTTCCCTGCCTGGTGGGGTGGGGGTGGGGGTGTTTACACAGCCCCCTCCCCCGTCAGCTTCCCTGGCCCAGCCCCCAATCCTCTGTGTGAACCCCACATGATCCTGACATTCCCAGGGTCCATGAAGCAATCGGTCGGCAGAGCTGCCACCGTGCCCACTCTTCTGAGCCCCGTGGACTCTCAGCCACGGGGTGCATCAGTAGGAGGTCCCTCCAAGGCCAGCTGCTCCCTGCTGGACACGCGGGACTGCATGGCAGGCCCTCCAGGTTGGATGCAACAGCTGTGACTCAGTCTCTTTTTGTCAGATGTTTATTTATTTGAAAGAGGTGATAGAGAAAGGGAATGAGAGGGAAAGAGATCTTCCATCTGCTGGTTTACTCCCCAAAAATGCTCTCAAGAGTCAGGACCGGGCCAGGCTGAAGCCGGAAGCCCTTCCCACATCAGGGGCCCACGTGGTGTGGAGGGACAACCTCTGCACAGAGCAGGTGTACCCAGTCATCCTCCACTTAGGTCATTGCTATGCATATGGGAGACCAGGATGAACAGTTCCTGTCTCCTGGCTTCAGCCTGGCCCAACCTGACTGTTGTGGCCTTTTGGGGAGTGAACCAAACAAATGGAAGATCTCTCTCTCGCCATCACTCCACTTTTCAAATAAATAAATAAAGCTTTCAAAAGAAGAGTGGTACTGGCAATTTTATTACACCATATTGTTATAATTGTTCTTTTACTATTATTCATTGTTAATTCCTTTTTAAAAAGATTTATTTATTTATTTGAAAGTCAGAATTACACAGAGAGAGAGGAGAGGCAGAGAGAGAGGGACAGAGAGAGAGAGGTTGGTCTTCCATCTGCTGGTTCACTCCCCAATTGGCTGCAACAGCCGGAGCTGCGCCGACCCGAAGCCAGGAGCCAAGAGCCTCTTCCAGGTCTCCCATGCGGGTGCAGGGGCCCAAGGACTTGGGCCATCTTCTACTGCTTTCCCAGGCCTTAGCAGAGAGCTGGATGGGAAGTGGAGCAGCCGGATCTCAAACCGGCGCCCCTATGGGATGCCGGCACTTCAGGCCAGGGTGTTAACCCGCTGTGCCACAGCGCCGGCTCCTCATTGTTAATTTCTTATTGTTCCTGATTTTCAAGTTAAACTTTATCTCAGGTATGTGTCTACAGGTAAAAAGTGCATGTGTAGGGGGTCTTAACAGCCACTGGGGGTCTTGGAGCCTATTCCCCCAGCATGTAAGGGTAGGCTGTGATAATCACCTTCTGTTGTAATTATTTTCTTATGCATCTGTCTTCCAAACCGAGAGACGAAATGATCGAGGGACAAGGTCTAGTCTCGGTGCTGTCTGTGCTTCCTGATCCCAGGACAAAGCCCAGCACGTATTAGGCGCCTGATCAGCCCTGGCCAAGGACTGTCCCCTCCAAGAGCAGAGAGCATCCAAGTGGCCAGCAGAACTCAGGTCCGGGATGGAACATACCTCCTCTGACCACAAGAGGGCGCGCCACGTTTCCTATAAGCGAGCCCGGCTGCTGGGGGCGCCCGGTGGCGCACCTGCTCCCGGAACCTGTCCCCAAAGAAGCCCAGGGGTTTCGAGGGGCGGAGGGGCGCGCTCCATGGCCAAGGCTTTGTGTTGTGCTGATTCGCTAAAGGTGCTCGAAAATTAGCACCTGGAGTGAGTGTTGAGTCTAGCGGTTAAGACGCCCCTCCTCCCACATCGGAGTCCCCGGGTTCCATCCCTGGGCCCGGCGCTCGCTTTCAGTACCTGTCTCTCCTCCTCTCAAACTAGAAAACGGAAAAGGAGATCGCACTGGTGGCAGCTGCTGTCTTCACCGCCGCCGGTCGCGAGGGTTTTGACTCCGGTGTTATTCGATGGGAAAGGCTACCGCTACTTTACCCGGAGCCACTCGGGCCTCCATGGAGGCGGCTGGGTTGCGCACCTAGGCTTGCGTGCCGGTCCCCAGTGTGGCGCACATACACAGTCCGGGGCGCTGTCATCTGCGCTCGGAACCCAGAGGACCCCGGGGAGGGAGAGCAGGCAGGCATCAGAACCAGTGAAACGGGCATCTCTTGCAGAAAGGGGATTCGTTGAAAGCCACCTGGACAGGTCAAGAAATGAGAGGTTTAAAAGGACCTAGAGACAGCTGGGGGCCCGGAAAGGCGCAGGTGGAAGCGCGGGCGAAAGGGCTCCAGGAAGGAAGGGGTTAACCCGGGCCCAGTCCAGGGAAGGAAAGGGAGGAGTGTGCGGGCTGGAGGCGGGACCCCGGCTCTGCCTCCGGAAAACAACAGGCCGCCTCGGGCAGGGACGGGGTTAACGGGGCGGGCCCAGAGGGAAGCCACGTGCCGAGGCGGAAGCCCATTGGCTCTCCCGGAGTTGTTTGTGAACATACATTGGCGACGTCGGGGCGCCGCGACGAGCCCATTGGCTGAGCCTTTCAAGACCCACCAGGGCCAGGGTAGGGAGGAGGAGGCGGTCGAACCGCGTCGCTGGGCCGGGCCGGGCCGAGCCGAGCGCGAGCGCTACCCGCGGCCGGGACCGCAGCCCGAGCCCGAGCCCGAGCCCGAGCCCGAGCCCGAGCCCGAGCCGCGGCCGCCGCCATGCGCTGGGTCCGGGCTCTGCTGAAGAACGCGTCCCTGGCAGGGGCGCCCAAGTACATCGAGCACTTCAGCAAGTTCTCCCCGTCGCCCCTGTCCATTAAGCAGTTTCTGGACTTCGGTACGGAGGGGGCGGCGGTGGCCCGCGGGGGCTGGGGGCGTCGAAGGGACCCTGTTCCCGAAGGACCGACACGGAGGCCAGGAGAGGCCCGAGGGACAGGGACGAGCTGCCTGGAAGAGTACAGAAAGGAAAGGGTTAATGGGGAGTCAGGGTTAGCGCCTGCCCGGAAAGGGTTAAGGACTCCCCGAGAAGGGACTCCCCACTGGACTGTTCCAGGGGACGGGGGCGCTGAGATGGAGGGGTCCAAGGTTTCTTCCCCGGCTCTCAGAGGGGTCTTGGGCAGTGAGCGGTGATGACGTTGGGGCAGGGAGGGAGCCGGGTGGTGTGCAGGCACCGAAGGGTTAATAATGTTGCCCAGGTGACTGGGAGAGTCTGGGGGCCTGAGGAGATGGCAAGCAGGCCGGTGGGAGTGCTGGCAGAGTGTGGAGATGCAGCCATCTGGAAGGAGACCTGGGTTGGGCCGTGCTTGAGGGCCGAGAGGCTCCTGGGCAGAGTGAGACAAAGCCAGGGGGCCCTTTGGGAAGAAGGTGCCAACAGGCCCCCCATCGCTGGGTCCCCCTGACTTGTGCACCTGCACCCACTGAAGGGGCTGCACCCCAGCTGCCTCAGTGGGCAAGGACACTTGAAGATCAAATCTGTCCCAGCCTGGCCGTCTGTCCTTGCTGGGCAGGAGCCCAGGACGCCATGAGATGGAGTCAGGCCACTTGTACCCTCCCTGGGCTGCCCCTGGGCTCCTGGATCAGGAGTACCCCCCACCAGCATTCTGGGGGTGGCTCCGGGACAGGCGGAGGTGGCCGTGCCAGCGGGGCAGCTCAAACAGGCATTGTATGGGCCTTGTCTGTCTGCACAGTGGTTCCGTGGTGCCAGCTGGAGACTGGGGGGTGGGAGGGCAGGCCAGGTCTCTCCAGAGTCCAGTTGATAGTGCGTGGTTTCGGTTACAGCTGCGTCACGGACAGGAGCCGGCAGGGGGTGGCAGCCAAGACCTAGGGCACCTTTTCCCCAGGATGAGTCCACAGGCCCCCTGCCCTGTTTGAGTCTTGAGCTGCCCCTAGGTAGGAAAGCCTTCCGGGCCCCTCCCAGCCCCAGCAGCTCTCAGCTTGGAGTTTGGTCCGCTTGTACAGGGTGGGAAACAGAACTCCAAAGGGTGTTCTGTTCTGGGTGGCTGAGATGCCCTGCCTCCAGGCTGGCTTATTCAACCTGTCACCGCTCCTTTATCCTCCACCCAGCCCATGCTGTTTGGACTCCAGTCCTCAGGCTCCATTTGTGCACAGGTGGGCATTACTATAGGGGTGGCGCTACACTGTGCATCCAGGCCAGCCCGGCTGAGGCCGGCTGGGCCCCTGCAGCCATGGAGGTCTTAGGCATACCTCCTCCCAGCCAGGACCTAGCCCAGGTAGGGATGGGTTTCCCAGGCTCCTTTGCTCACTGAGGCAGTGTCTACCAGGAGGGAAAGAGAGAAGGGAGGTGGCTTAGGCTAGAGGCAGCCCCAGGTGGGCCCGGGCTGAAGCCTGGGGCAGGGCAGTGTGGTGGGTGTCTCGCTGTGCACCAGAAATGAAGGGTTCAGCTCACTGGGTGCTGTGGTTTCCAGCTCCGGGGGCTCCCCGTCCTCTCTCTCCCTGCAGGTTCCAGCAATGCCTGCGAGAAGACCTCCTTCACCTTCCTCCGGCAGGAGCTGCCAGTGCGCCTGGCCAACATCATGAAAGAGATCAACCTGCTTCCGGACCGCGTCCTCGGCACGCCCTCCGTGCAGCTGGTGCAGAGCTGGTGAGACCCCTGGCTTGCTCCCCACACCTCCCACCCCACCGTCAGGTGTCCAGAGCTGCCGGCGGGGGGGTCTTTGTGCTCCCAGCAGCCTTGAGGAGGGTGAGGAGAGAGGCTAGCGGGTTACCCCAGGCCACGTGGGGCTCCTAGGCCAATGCAGGGTCAAGGTCAAGCTCCTGGCCTCTGTATCTGCAAGACAGCCCCGTTCTTACCATTCTCCTTTCTCTGGAAACGCCTAGGACAATCATCGTTTTCACAGCTACAGCGCTGGTCGGGCCGATGCCAGCGTTAGCCCTCTTGGGTAATATTTACTTGGAGTAACTTTTTGGGAAACACAGAAAGAAGAGCCACCTCCTAAAACACATTATATAATCCAAGCTACCAGTCAGACCCAGAGAGACTCAGGGATGGCACAGTCCCTGCCCAAAGAGCTTTGGATGGGGCAAAGACCAGAAGTGTCTTGCATGTAGCCGCAGGAGCGGGCGAAAGCCTTGGTGAAGTTCACGCTCAAGCTCTGGCCAAGGTCAGGTGGCTGGAATACCTTAGCCAGCGGCCAGTCACGTGACCAGCAAGCCAGGCTGTGCTCTGCCTGCCACTGGATACGGCAGTGACTAACCAGCATGGGTCTTTTGTGGCCCTGTGCAGCCCTGCACAGGGTCTTCGGGATTTGCAGGATGCAAATCCGTGCTGTCCACACCTGCTGTGATCCTGGCACCACACTGGGTGTGAGGCAGCAGCAGCTACCGCCTGGCCAGGGGCCCATGGTTTTGCAGGCCAGTGGGCACTCCTTGCCAAGGCCAGCTGAGCACCTTGCCACGTAGGTCGTGGGAGGAGCCGTGGGCTGCTGCAGAGTGAGTTTTACCTAAGAACCAAGATGTTAGTTACTTGAAAGTAACACTGTGTGTGTTTTATTCCCTCATTGCAGAATATAACAAGTGCACTTTGACACTTGGATTAACACAAAAAAGGAGATAGAATAAAATGCTAATCGCTGCCCTCCGCCCCGTAACCAAACACTGTTTAGGTCTCCCAAGGCTTCCTGGTGCCCTCCCAGCCTTGTTTCTGTGTGCCAGGATGCGTAGACATGACTTGTCTAATGAATGAGCTATGAGAAAGGAAGTATTGTCCACAAAGGCCAGGTGTGTAGCAGGTGCATGCCGAATGCTGGCTCAGTCAGAGGTAGTGGGGAAGCTGAAACGGACACACATCACCAGGCCAGGCCCAGGTGACCCCGAGCTGGGAAGGAGGAGAGGGCTAAAGAAACAGCTTGGGCTAAGGCGTGGCACGGGAAAGGGGCTGGACAGGGCATCCGGGACTTCGTGTTAGTGCGAGGTGTTAAAAAGGGGATGGGGGATGGAAGAGGAGCTGGTTTCCATACCATCCAACCAGGTCACCCCTCGCTGTGGCCTGCCCCTCGGAGACCCAGGGCCTCTGTGCCATGCAGCATGTGCCACCGTGGGGTGGCCGGGAGTGGAGAGAAGGTGCCATCTGTTCTCCCAGCCCTCCTCCGGCCCGGTCCAGCTGGCTGAGCTGGCCGCCTCTCCAGCTAGTCCCTGTTCCAGGCAGGGCTCCTGAGGCCCCTCCCTGGCCACTGTGTTCCTGGGAGAGCTGGGCCATGCAGGAGCAGGGCAGGGGCTGCTGCCCGGCCTCCCTGTCCCTCGCCACCTCCAAAGTCCCCACCAGTGACCCGGCTCCAGCTTGGCCTGACTTACTCTTCCTCCAAGTCTTGGAAGTTGTGTCAAGTGACAGCAGGAGAGAGTCGAGTTAAACAAGAGAGGACACTTACCAGAGGCTGATGCAGGGTAGAAGTGAGCAAAACTGTTTCCAGAGAGAATGGGCACCGGTTGCAGCGAGCGGGACAGAGGTGTGAGGGCAGGAGGGACTTCCTGGCGGGGCCCAGGTGAGAGTGAGGATCCCCCTTCTCCAGGAGAAGCCCCTGCGCGCCGGGATGTTGGAGGAGGTGGAAGAGGGCAGGATCTGCAGGAAGGGAGGGGCCAGCAGGCCGCGCACAAACACAGCTGCTAGGAGTGCTGATGGCTGCTCTGTGGCAGCAGCCGATGGGGCTTCTCACTGCGGCCAGGGGAGGATTCCTGGCTCAGAGGAAGCCTGGGCAATTCCTTCACCTGGACCAAGGCGGGGCGGGGCCCGGGGCTCCTGTTCTGGAGCTGCAGGGAGGGTGGAGGCAAGCGTGGTGTTAACGGCCATCCTCCACTTCCTGGTTGCGTCTCTAAGGCTGAGAGGCCAGGGCTGCAGGGAACTTGCACAGATCTCTGTCAGCTCGGGGCCCCTCCCCAGGCAGTGGGCGGCAGCACCTGCAGGCCAGACCTGATGCGACAGGCTGAGGTTTCCAGACAGAGACAGAGATGAACATCCCTGGACAGCTCGCTGTGGGCCAGGAGCTGTTAAACGTCAAGTACACAACTACTACCTGCACCTCCAGCACAACCTTACAAGTCGGCCTTGACATTATCCTCACTTTGTAGGTGGGAAACTGGGGTCCGAGCGGTGAAGACGCTCGTCTGTCACTTGGGGAGCAAGTGGTAGAGTTGGGGCTCTAGCCCAGGCTGTGGGACCTGGAGCCTGCATTCCTGATGGGAGAGGGAAGGTCTGCGCTGGGGCCGTGACAGAGGCAAGGATCTCCAAGTTCACGGGCGAGTCCATGGGAGAGCAGGATGTGCCTTAGAGAATGCCTCTGACAGCTGGTGCTGCTGGAGCCCAGAAGCGGTGCCCTGGGCTTCTTCCGGGCAGGAGCACAGCCTGAGGCTGGGCGTGGGGCCGACGGGGATGTGCTTCCGAAAATGTCACTTGCAGGGTAGACTCAAATGACAGTGAGTCACTCC